TATTGTGTTATATCACATTGTATCATGTTACAAACATTATGGTGAATCTGCATATTGTCGCTGTCCAAAAACAAGTATCTCCATTTTTGTTGTTTTAAATTTTTGCTGTAATTTGAGGAAATCAGCAGCCCTCTACATTGTGTGAAAATTTTATGATGAAGGGATCAATGAAAATGCTCCAAGATAGTTTGAAATGAAACCTCTTTACATTAACCTACATTAAAAGTAAAGAAAGTTTACCCTCTCCTGTAAAGTTGCCATTTTTCTGTTTTTCTTTTGACAGCGATGATATCAATGCTGTGTTGTAGAAAAAATGAACTTTTTAAATTTCAGTAGAGATACTGTCACTAAGTTAATATAATATAACTATGCCCAAAAGGAAATTAGTAGGTAGATGTTCATAACTAAAATGTAAGGTGAATAAGTAACTTCTCTCACAAATATTCTTGAATAGAGGAAAATGTATGATGATTTAAAAGTACTTAGGGAATAACACTAAAATCCATCACTTTTTACATGAGGAAAAAGCAACTGAGTAAATAACTAGTAACTACCCACCTCTGGGGCTTAAGTGCAACATTTAACAATAATAACTGTGATATTTAAATTAAATTATCAGTATCAATAATTCAATATAAATTAGGAGTACTTGGAACATAAATAATTGCCATATGGTGTCCCTCAAGACTCTGTTATAGGTCCCTTACTGTTCTTCTTTTGTTTACATTCCATAAGACATGCAAAACACAATGTTGGCTATCACTTTTGTACTGATGATGTACAGTTATACAGGGAGATTCACTCGAAAGAGGCCCTGAATATTCTGTAATAACTCTCACTGGGACGAAGCAATCTGAACCGAACAACATGAAATGTGCTCCTTAGTATATGGTGCTTCAAACAAGATGGGGTGCCTCCTGTGTCCGAGCAATGAGGTAGGCGCCGGACATCTGTTGCCACGTTTAACCTCCATTTGCAATCTCTGGGTGCATACCCCCGTATTCCTTCATGTGTCTGGCAGAAAATGGAGATCACTTCCAGCATTGCATGTAATGCAATCGATTACACAGATATCAAGGTATGTAGCATATTTTTTTGGTTCAGATTGCTTCATCTTAATGGGAGTTACAACAGAATATTCTGGGCCTCTTTCGAGTGAATCTCCCTATATGTCTTATAACTGTCAAATACAGTGATGGGATATACAAAATGAAAGATTGTGTCAAAGACATAAAAGTCTAGAACACCAGAAATGTCCTCCTTCAAAAGTCTTATGAAACAAAAGTATTGCTACTGGGCTTTAAGACTACTTGTAATAAGTCTGCATATTTCGTTCTTGACCTTAATGGTTTTTCTGTGTATCCGAAAGCAACATATAAGAACACTGGTGCTCTGTTTGTATCTTTAGCAGGAAAAGAAAGCCACCACATGTGACCGCACTCTCATTCAATTTATACTAGCTTTCTATTACGTTTCACTTTGACTCACTGACTACAAGTTCTTTCTGATAAATTTTGCAGCACTAGCTCCAGTATGTCATGCTGTTCTAAGTATTGTAGCTCATTCAGACCACTTCCCTTAGCTGAGACAGGCTTACTGAAAATCTCTAAGACTGCTTGTAACTTAGTTGGTGGAAGATGTTTTTCTTACGTAACTCATAAACTCTGGATTTTTTTTTTTTTAAAACACTTACAATTTTGTACACTGTAGAAATATTCTTGATAACTTACACTTGGCTGCAGGGGTGCAAATTTGATCTGAAAATAGTGGGGTGGTGGGGGTGTGCTGGGTGTGGTAAGATAAAGACTAAAGAGCAATACAAATGTGAAACCTACAGTTAGTGTTACTGTAGTGTTGTATATCTAATGGCTTGCCAATCAATAAAAAAACAAACTCAAACAAAATCATTAACAGGAAATGTTAATGTATTTCATACATATTACACATATCAGTTTTGTGTACTTTACAGTGGCAGGTTTTGTATCACTGTTTGTCTGATCTGTAAATTGTGACAAATAATAAATATAAATAAATGTATGACATGTCCCCCTCACCCCACCCCTTATTTTGTGCCAGTGCCTGGCTGCTTTAAAATTTAGATTTTATAATGTAACACATAGATTTTTGTCATTAGAAGATTAGCTCACATGATTTAAAGGGGAATTTCACTGACAGAAAAAGAATAACTTTCAAAATATTCAACCCATGTTTATGTCCTTTCCGCCAATTTTTACAAATTTCTGCATTGAGATGTAAACACAGTCATTCAGAGTGGTTTGGTGTGAAATATTTCGTTCAAGAGAAACATATCGAGTTAGAATTAATCACAGTGGTGGTGATAAGAACACAGCAGTTTTACAGCAGTTTTACAAAAATATTTTGGCCTAAAACGTATTCTCTTAAATACATTCATGGCGGAAAGGTATAGGCAGGACGTCATAAGGCAAAATAGCCCACGAAGAATTTTTTTTTCCAGATTTAACACTATTTTACCATCATCAACATCACATATCAAAACTCAGAAGATGTTTTGTTTACTGGTGGTTTTGGAAAGTTAATAAAATGTCTACATTTCTACAACTATTTCTCATTAAACCACTATAAATGACTTTATTTACATCTCAGTGACTGAAATATGCAGAAATGTATAAAAATCGGTGGAATTCCAATAAATGTTTATTACAGTGTAATTGTGGTGTTTACCTGTGTAAAGCTTTTTAAGATTTTAAAACTAAACTGAAATATGCAATAAAAGTAAAAAACCGGAAATGAGACATCAAGAATTCTCTTTCAAAATGACATAAGGCAATTTGACTACACCAGGACAAACTAACTTGAATTTAGGTGGGAAAATTATTGACACTACCTAGCTAAGTTATAAATGTTTGTCCAGTAAATGTTTGTAATTAGTCTGTATTGTTTTATCATGTAGGTTTAGATTTTGTTTACCTCTTTGCAGCCATGTTCCTCGCTTGTTTCCTAAGAAAAGTGGTCTCTGTACAGTAATAAGTCAGTGGAAATACCCTGACAAAGACAAGAGAACTAATTCGTGTGAGTATGTGTGTGTCTGTCTGTCTGTCTGTCTGTATGTGTGAGCTAAATGCACAAAAGGAAGAGTAGTTGCGTGCGCCTTGCTCGAGACCTGCTTTCCCTGCCTTTGGGTGTTGACGTACTGTGTTTCACAATCAGAGGCAGGACTGGAACATACATGCATGCACACAAATCTGTACTGCTGATTTCAGGGGGTATTTCCACTGACTTCTGAAACCAAACCCTAAGCTGAGGTGGGCGGCAACTAATTCCATTTTCTCAGCTTCATATAATAATAAAGATTTTCCTGAATTTTTGCATAATAAAATCATTCAGGAGCAACGTCATTCAGAGCGGTTCAGAATTGTTACCAGCAGTGGTGGTGATAAGAACCAGGTGTCTGAAGAGTTAAAGAAAGCAAGAACTATTTTAGGAAATATTTACGAATTAACTGCCTGATGTCTGAGACCTGCAGGGCGGAGAGCCCTGCTGACAAACACAGCAAAGCATACAGTACATGCTGATCTAAGCTGGTTTCATGTTGGTTTAGCTGGCCACGCATACAAAACACAACATATGCTGGTTTTGCTGGTGGCCAGGCATGCTGGTCTGTGCTGCTTTTCTAAGAGGGAGGTAGGGTAACTTGGAGGAAGATGTCTGCCTGCTAAACTTTCTCTTCTGATGAAATGATGGGGCCACATCTAACACAGACACATTTACTAAATGCCTATGGTCTAATTTAGTCTGAAATCACTGCATTCCTATGATATTTTGCTCTGAAAAAAGCACAGCAGGATTTATTTTCTCTTGAAGTGAAAGTTAGAACTTTGGAGTAAGAAGTGCCCCCAGATATGGAGCAAAAGGTCAGCTTTAGCATGTTGCTACAAATATTCAGTGTTCAGTTCTTCACTGGAGTTTCACTGACGAGCTAGCATTAGCATTACATGCTAGCCATAGCAATTGTTAGCTACAATTAGCCAACATTTTTCTTATTTTATTTTTGAGCTGCATTATATGTATGAAAGGCGCTATACCAACAATGATATTATGATGATGGTGATAATGCACTATTTTATGTTACTCTGAATGACTTTGTTTACATTTCCACGATGTAATAATGCAGATATTTTAAAAACTAGTGGAATTCCACATTAATTTTAGCCATCATAATAAAATGATGATATAAAATATAAAACTACTATAAAATGGTAGCACTCTATTGTGTAAATAAACCCTTACAAAAAAGATATATATAGTAATACTATGGAAAAGAAATAATAAAATAAAATGTGCCATAACTTTTGCACAGGACACATTTTAGATGATACCAAAATCATCATTTATAGGGTACCTGGGAGGTGGCTGACCCAAATCCTAACCTCTAAATTTCAACTTTGTGAAAATAACATAATTTTTTGTTAGAGCACTGGTCTTGTAAACCAGGGGTCATGAGATCAGTCCTCACTGGGGCCTCCCAATGTGATTTTGGGGGATAATGTTTGATCAATCTCGAACTCATAAGGCCAGTTTCCCTGACCTGGATTAACCCTAGGATTTCAAATTATGAAAAAAATGGTAAAGCTAATTAATCTATTAATTTAGGTGCTTGAAACTAGCCCATGACCTGTGAAAGCAGTTGAACAAGAAGCAGAACCTTAATCTGATAAAGAGTTCATTTTAAAACAGGGATGCACCAATATGGAAATTGTGGGGCCATGCTGATATCTGATATTTTTCACAATAGTTATACACAGATGCTAATATGTAAGCTTTTTTATAAAATAATGAAATATTATACCCTGATAATGTCTTTTAAGTAAGCATCACATTCCATAATGTGGTTATTTCCCCTTGAGGCCCTACCTGCCAAAATGTCTGTACATGGGCTTTGACTACATCCCTATTGAGATCTTTAGCAGACAAATACAGCAAAGACACAACTTGTAGTACTGATTCATACTGTTTTATTTTCCAGTCTTCAAACAAAGCTTAAAGTATTGTACAGTTCTCCACTATTAAAAGAGACACAGCTTTAGCACAAGATGTGGTGCTTTATTCTCAGCTGTTGGCCGCAGCTATGCCGTACATAAGCAGAGCTTTCGCTTTACTAATAGCTCATCTCTTGAACTCTCTTTTGGCATCTGGACCATGGACCACTAAGGCATTCATGACCTCCTGCTTGTAGATGACCGTCTCATAGATGCACATCTGAGGTGCTTGCCCCATGCACAACTGGGTGCTGTAGCTGGCCAGCAGTTCCCTCATGGAGAAGGTGAAATGAAAGTTCCTCAACCTAGAGGACTTCCTGAAGGCTGGTGAGGAGGTGAACTTGCGCAGGAACAGTTTACAGTTATAATCTTTATCATTACCAAGGAAACTCTTTTGGCCTCTCAGCATCTGCAGTGTCACCCCCTGACTCAGACTTTGGGTGGAGGTGATGTCATCTCCTGGTTTCTTAAATCCACCATCATTCAGGATGGGTGAATGTGTGCATCACTCATTTGTCTCTTACAGAGCAATATTAATTCTATGTGATGCATTTAAAACAGAAATTTCCTCTATATAGATTATCTGTGCTAGTCCTTGTGTGAAATATGTGCAACTTTGTGAGCATGAGCAGTGCACTGTGAGTGTGGGAAGTGCTGCAAATTCAAAGATCCATCTATAAAAGCGTTACATAAAAAGAACAAAAAATCTGCCAAAGCACCTGTGAATATAAATCTGAAGGATGAAGATTTATAAAAAGAGCTGAAGAAGAGAGAGATCCCACCTCACCTATCCCACCTCACCAAATCAGGCCAGACCCAATCAAAATCATTCAGAGTGGTTTGCTGCAAAATGCTTCACTGTGGAGAAACTTACTGTGTCAGAATTATTCACAGTGTTGGTTATAAGAACGGCCTGAAGAGACATCTGAAGAGTTTAACACCTGTAAAAGTTCCCTCACAGGAACACAAATAAGCCATCTTATGTCTGAGATATTGTTTTACAATATTTTTGGCCTAAATGGCAGAGGCGTACATACAGGATGTAGAACGGAAAAATAGTCCCCAAATAAAACATATGTTTTTGAATTTACCACTGTTTTACCCTCATCAACATTACATATAAAAACTCAGAAGACACGTGTAGGTTCACTGGTGGTTTTGGATGGTAAATAAAATGGCTGTATGTGTGTCGTACACATAGCGACCCCTGGTTCCTATCACCACCACTGTAAAGAAATATGAGTTTGTAAGTTTCTCTACAATTTCACATAAGATCACTCTGAATGACTTTGTTTACATCTCAACTACTGAATTATGTTTCTTTTGACCAGTTTTTAGGTTTTCAGATAGCATAATGTCTGTGTCTTGTTCAGAGAAAAGTCAGGGACATTTTTAATGGATTACTTTTTGAGTAACTACCCTGGTCTCATCGCCTGGATTACATGGGTTGGAAGTGTTTGGTTGGGATTCTAAAAAATGTTTGCAGTCACCAAATTGCCAGGAATAGGATTTTAACACCCCTGATCAATAGTAGTATCAGAAGCCTAAACTATACTCTAGAGCCAAGTTTTCTAGTATTTCATAAGCTTCATACTCATCAAGGCCATAGTCTGGCTCCCTCAGGAGATTCCATTCAGTGACCTCACATGTGCTCACACTTCTATACAGTCGCTCCCGATCCACGTCCAGAATCCAGTCTGGCTCCATGTGGAAGGCTACAGCCACATGATCCCACACATAATACTCCTTACCCTTAAGTGACCTTGCATGCACTGTGGACTCGTCTTCGTCCACCACTAGCCTGTGGCCATGACTTTCTGATGGAGCCTGACAGCGCCATGACATGTTGCCCTGGAAGTACCCACACACGTCGTCATCACCACAGGGCAGGCGTGGGTATTGGCTATAGCGCTTAATGTGCCGTGGATGCACCAACACAGAGTACATAATCTCTGTTTTGTAGATCTTGGTGTCCAACACACGAAGAACTGGAGCAGAATTGTAACAAAATTGCCTGGCATACAGAGACAGGAGCTCTCTTAGAGGAAAGACAAAGCGGAAGTTGCCGTAGCGAGACTTGTTCTGGAATGCCGGTGAGGTGGTGAACTTCTCCAAGAAAGGCTGCTGGTCATCCGGCACCATGTCTAACTCCTCCAGGAAATTCTCTTCAGCATCAGCAATGTCTTCCTCAGTCACTGATAGACTCCACCACAGGAAGTCATTTTCATATTCATCATGGTATGGAATCTGGAAGCCGCCGTCATCAAAGATACCCCGAACGCCACTCTCCCCAGTCACATGGCACACTTCAGATACACGGAAGAGCACGGATTTTGGATAAGGCGGGATGTTTTTCTTCCTCAGGTAGTGAGTGTCCACTCCAGGGTCGGCTTTCAGCTCTGATAAACTCACATGCTCACCCTCACAGCACGTTACATCATGGCCTCTGGAGTTTTCATATTCTGTCCACTCTCTGAAAAGGAAGGAACTTATTGTATGTTAACTCTTCATGCAATCTGTTAGATTATCCACTAAAAATAAAAATAAATCTTAAATAAAAAGCTTAGATTCCTCACAAATGTACTTGAGAAGTAAAAAATATTAAGATGTGAACATACTCAGGAAATAACATTGCAAATCCATCAATTATACTTGTAACTGAGCAAATGTAACAAGTAACTACCCACTTCTGGGGCTTAAGTGCAACAATTGATACTACTGAGTGTAATATTTAAATTATTGCTTATAGTAGTATAAGTTTCTAATGTATAATTTAATTGTATAATATATGATATAATGATATAATAACAACAACATATGTACAGATTAGGGGTGTTCAGAACATAAATAAGTGCAATATGGTGTTCCTCAAGACTCTGTTTTAAGCTCCTTACTGTTCTTCATTTACAGTCAAATGCAAACATGTTTTAAATAAAGTTAAAATAAGTTAGCACATCCTCTACAGGGAACACACTTAAATTTTTCTTCAAGTTTTCATACAAGATTTCTATTTTTTTGCTGAATTTAACACATTGAAAAAAAAAACAAAAAAAAAAATATAAAATGTGACAATACCTTTTGCACAGAAAACATTTTATATTTTAATGCAGTGTACATTAATATATGCATTGTGTTCTCTGTAGAGGATATGTTCCTATTTTCACTTAGAAAATCAACAAAACATGTAATTTAGCTCAATTTTTGCACACAACTATATATACAACCCCATAATGCAGAACACAACATTGGCTATGACTTTTACACTAGTAATATACAGTCTATATGTACCACCTCAGTCAGACACAGTGACATAGATATACACAATGAAAGACTTGCTCTGTTAAAAATTTCACTGTACAATTACAGCAAATTACTGGCTACTAGTTGCATTACTTTCACAGTAATTTGCAGTACTATATTAACAGTAAATAACAGTAAAATAGCAGCCGCATACTATGACTACACAGTCACTTGGACCACAAGATTCCTGTGATGTAGCCATGATCTGCAGTACGTTTACAGTAATACACTGTAATTAAAATAATCTCTTGTTATTTTTACATAACAATTGTAAAAAGTAATGCAACTCAGTAGCCAATTTACTGTAAGCTTGCGTACGAAAAAATGACTTTTAGTTTTACCAGACCTATAAATAATAAAATTTACATAAAAAAGATATAAAATAAAATAGAAAGCAAGGTAATAGATAAAATAAAAGCAATATCAATTAAGATATTTGTTTATTTACATGTATAAATGTAAATTTATTACAGTAATTTTCTGTGTTATTATGGAAAATATCTTTAGTATAAATTAATCTTTATAAGATTAGTTGATTTCACATTAAAATGATGAATATGGTATTTTACAGTGAAAATAATGTTAAATGTTGTGATATCTTGGCAATAGTTAACAGTTCGCTAAAGAGCTAAAGCCTGAAAGACCAGAAACTTCCTCCTTCTGAATTCTGATGAAACGAAAGTATTACTGCTGGACGTTAACTTGTTGCTTGTTGCTTAATGTTTTTTCTGTGCAACTGCAAGCTACAGATAAGAACACTGGTGCTGTTTTTTTATTTTATAAATTCAATTCTGGTTTAATAATTTAAATTCCATCTCACACTTGAGAAAAATATCCAAAAGACAACATATCCAACGCTGTAAGTTGCTGGGACATTAATCAATGCTTTCCTGAATTGTAGATTAGACTACAGCAATGTGTTATTGACTGCTTACACTGCTGTTTGTCTAAAGAAGCTCCAAGTAGTTCAGAATGTTGCTGCTCATCTATTTAACAGGAGCAGAAAGTCACAGCATCTCACCTCTCTTTTATTTAGTTCCTTTTAAGTTTCACATTGACTAAATTCAGAAGACTAAAGCCTACATACAATAATTCAAATGTATAAGTAGTTAGAACAGTTCATGAGCACTACTAAGCTTAGCTGTAAATGTTTGTATTTAGTCTATATGTGTCATCACATAGGTTTAGATTTTGTTTGTTTACCTGTTCACAGCCATGTTTTCTTGCTTGCTTGTTTCCTGAGAGAAGCGGTCTCTGTATAAGTCAGTGGAAATACCCCAACAAGGGAAAGAGCCCTAGGTTATATGAGCATGTGCGTGTCTGTTTGTCTGTCTGTATGCGAGTTGAATGACTTGCTTGAGAGGGGTGTTGACATTACTGTATTTTCTGATCAGAGACAGGACTCTAACATACGCGCACACACACACACACACACACACACACACATGCATACAAATGTGCATACAAATCTGCACGGCTGATTTTGAGGGGTATTTCCTCTAACTTTTACAGCTGTTTTACGGTTGAAGTCAAACCCTAAGCTGAGGTGGGTGGCAACCAATTACATTTTCTTCATGTAAATGGGGATTTTCCCAAATTTCTGCATAATAAAATCATTGACATGTAGGTTCTAAAGACACTTACTGGGTCAGAATTGTTCCCAGCAGCATTCTTGATAAGAACGAGGTGTCTGAAGCGTGAATGAAAGCAAGAACTATTATGTGAAATAGTTATGAATTAACTGCCTGATATCTGAGGCACTGTTTTGAGATAAGCTTCTGGACTGAAACGTATGTTTTTAAATATCCATAAAATCCATTTGGGTTACAAAGTCGTTTTGTTGATTTTCTACATAAATAAAGGTAAACACATCCTCTACAGAGAACACAGTTAAATATGATCAACTTTTATGTACATTTTCTATTTATTTGCTTTGCTTTCTATTTGAATTTAAAATATTGGAAACAAATTACATAGACAACACAAAATGAGCCATAGCTTTTTCACAGGTCACATTTTAGGTTTTATTTTTTTCCAATGTGTTAAATTCAGAAAACAAACAGTAATTGGGCATTAAAATTTTGACTTCCCAAGTGTGTGTTTCCAAACATTTGCACACTCCTGAATATAATATTTGAAGAATATTGGACATGTGCACTATTTTAAGGAGTACAAGTCTTAACACTCAGAGCTCCTTATAACTCTCAGTGTAGCCATGGTTTTTCACCCCTCCACATACTTTTTCTATCAGCAAACTGCTGCCTGTGCAAAGAATTTATTCCAAGCAAGGACTAAACCTGCTGACCTTCATTAGCCACACACACAAGCCCACATCCCAGCAGTAACATACTGAAAAGCCTGGGTAAGATGTGAAGGCTTTTGAGTAGTTACCTGTATTATACTGGCTGTTCAGTATAATGTAAAAGTATTGTGATCCTGGCCTAGTTGAGAATACCTTGGTGGTCCAAAAGTTTTCCAGTGTTGTATATTACAGTTTGTTTTTTACTATGCAAATGATGTACATTTCACACAATGGCTGTATAATAGCTTTCATATCATGGATCCTAGTAGCACATGTCCAAACTTGTGGATCCAAAAACATAACTAATAAAGTATAGGGGAGTTCCACTGATGTGTAAAAATAACTTATTTTTGTATTATTCAGTCATTGAGATGTAAACAAAGTCATTCAGAGTGGTTTGTGGATTGAAATGCTCCATTCTAGAGAAACTTACCAACTCTTGTCAACTTTACAGTAGTGGTGATAGGAACAAGGTTGCAAAATCTGTCAATATCTGTAGCCCTTTTATTAACAATCCAAAATGACCAGTCAACGCACATGTAGCTTTCTTTGGGTACTGCACTGCTGTGTCTGACACCCCCGAAGAACAGGGAAAAAGAGGGCTAACAAAGTATACAGAGAAACAGATGAACTACATCGGGCATCATTAGTTTAGGCTTACCAGGCATTACCAAGGAAACGCCTCTCAGCATCTGCAATGTCACCCTCTGAAATGGCTAAGCTCCACCAGACCAGACTCTGGGTGGATCTGATGACATTTCCAGGTTTCTTAAATCCACCATCATTTAGGATGGCCTGGAAGCTGCTAAAGTTGATATCATGCCGTAGATTGGACACGTAGAACTCAACCGGATGAGGGAATTTTGGGACAAATTGATATCTGTTTAGATACTTATTCTGAATCCTTTTTTGAAGCTGACCAAACTTCAGATGCTCCCCTTGGAAGGACATTTCGTTGTGCCCTCTTTCATTCTGATGCTGCATTCTGGTGTGGGCTGTCTTGAAACGCCTACTGGTGAAAGAAGAAAACAATAATTCTGAGTTTACAGACAAATAACTAAGGACCCTTTTAACTAACGTTTTGTCCCTTTTTGGCTTTTTGCTATTTATAGTAATTTTTCATTTATGCTAATTTATGCTTGTCTTATCAGCCGGTGCTTGTTTCATTGGCACTGTTGTGGCTACTTCCTCTTTCTTGCAGGTTCTTCTGGGGACTTTTTGGTGGAAACTATGAAATGATTTACCAAAGCAAGGTTTCGTAACCAATATGCATGACGAATGTTCCACCAAAGCAAGGTCAAATAACCAAAGTACATAAGAAAAGAATAAACAACTAAACATTTTTGTTGTATAGCTAAAACAGTAGCAGCAGCCATTTTGAAGCCTAAATTTATGTGCACTTTTGTCCATTTTTTATGGATAACAATTTTGTAATTTTGTGTAATTACCTGTAAAATTGCAGACATAATTCAGGCTTCAAAATGACTGCTACTTATGCTTTAGCTGTGCAACATACTTTTAACCATTTTTACAGTCAACAGAATGTGGTTATTACCAGGGTCAGAAACCACATAAGCATGTCTATTTGAAATTACTACATGTTAGCTACATTAGTCTCGTAGTCTCAATGCAAAACTAGACATCAAACAACCATTTATTTCCTTAAGAACATCACAGTACTTGGGAAAAGCACCTCATTTTCATCAAACATGAGAATAGTATCAGAATATGTTTTTTTCATTAATTGGACCAAAAGTATTCTTTCAAGGAATACACAGATACATGCTCAATTTATAAGGCAAAAACATTCCCTAAGCAACAAAAGAGACCATTCAAACTTGTTTACAGGTTGCTTTTCTCAGTAAATTTATACACATTAGGAAAAAATAAGACCTAACATATTAAATGTGCCGTAACCTCGTACATGCCATATTTCTGTTTCTGTTATCTTTCACAATATAATAAATTCAGTAAATAATTTAAGAAGTTTGTTCTCTATAGAGGATATGTTAACTTATTTTCACTGTGAAAATCAGCAAAATGTAATTTGACAAGGGGTGTCAAAACTTTTGCCATTAGCTGTATATATATAATTGCACATTTCAGTTTTGGCACACTTGGTCAAATTATACATCTTATATTTTGTTAACTTTCCAAGTGAAAAGAAGTGAACACATATGTATGAAATATTTCTGCAAATTTTAATGGACAATCATTATTTATTTGCAGAATTTAACATAATGGAATAAATAAACTTTAATACACCCTGGATGAAATCAGCCATGTAGCCAGCTAACAGTTTTTCTATTCTTGATTTAGGTGGGGTAAGAGCAATTCCAAAACTTTAATCTTTAATTTCTTGAAGTAGTTAAAAGTTGATGTTGAGGAATGTTTTTGATTACTGCCCTGTAATTTACAACTTCTTCTCCTTATCCCCACATTTCTTGTGCCTCTGGTTGACACACAAGTCCATAAGCATAACAGATCCACCCCCATGCAAGGTTACATAATTCATTACGCTCTGGAGTTTTCTACACCTGACTCGGATTAAGCCCTAAAGAGTCAAATAAACGCTAAGATCTTAAAAAAATTACCACTTAGTTACCACTTATCACCCCAGTATTTAAAATTCAATACATGTGAATTCAGGCTTTGACTTATATATTGCTTTAATGAAATATATTTTAGCCAACGGGAAGTCTCATAATTTTTACACCAGCAAAACAACAGTTAAGCACTACCAAAGTCATTTTAGGAAAGTACGCCCACTCAGTGACCATCTTGGCAGTTATTTCCTGTAATAATACAGGACCAGACTCCTTCAATGCAGAGAGACCTAAAATTCAAAACTAAAGGCCAAATTACCACTTTAAAATATATGAAGTCACTGGTAAACTCTGACAAGAATCTCATGAATAGTTTGTACTGTTTGGCTCAAATAACACACGTGAAATGTGTTTTTTCGTGTTGTTCTGGCTACTGCGCAGATCTTCATAACTAAGGGGTCATTTCTCGCTTGTGGCTTCACCAGCAAGCCGATGTGGTTTTTTTTTCCAAAGCTGGGACTTTCCCCATAAACAGATGCCATATTGTGATAGTCAGCGTTACAAGTGGTCCCATTTATTTTCCAACCACTGCTGTCTCCTCTGTTATAATGTCTTTGGCACGACATAACTGAGAAAGTACATTCAAATGTTCACCCAAACATCAGGGACAAAAAGACTAACTATTGAATCATTGAACTGTTGGGAACTGTTTTTTTTTTCATTCTAAATGGAACCTACAGTTTTCCATTTCAGTCACTGCACTGCAACAGTGATGTTCATGCCCCAGGAGAACCAGGGATAGGCAGAAATAATAGACCTGTTTCAAATTATGTAGTAGACAGCTTTATTTTACCTCAAATGAGAGTTATGACTGCTTCTCTTACATTCTGTTCTAAGCGTGGAGGATATGTCACTGAGCAACATTAATTCTGAGCTGTAATTCTGTTCCGTTTGATTTAATGTGACGTCTGAAACCAGAAATTAAAACTTTGAGGCATGTAGAAACAAGGCCACAGTAAGAAAGAGATAACGGCCATCTCCATTCTAATATATTTACTTAATACAAACAAAACTATTCAATGCATATATATATATATATATATATGTGTGTGTGTGTGTATGTTGTTGCTGGACCCCTTAACAATAACAGTAACAATCACACAGTATTTTGCCATTTGACTGACAGAATGACTAAGCGAAGTCTCAACTCCAGCTTTAAGGCCAGCTTAGGTGATGAATAAAACAGGCTAGTATTAGTCATCAGTGGCTGAACATGTCTTATTTTCAGCCTTCAAAGAGCTCCAACAAAACACTGCTTTACATGACAATGTATGTCCTTTCTTTTTTATTCTGTTTCTTTAATTTTGTTAGATTTCAGATGTATTTCATGTGAGTCACTAGAATCACTTTGAATAAAGCAGATCAACACAGTGCACTTTGCAGTTTATCATGTATATTTCAGATGAGGCCCGACAATAAATCAGTGCCACATTCCATAGTAGATAAAGCAACACATATACTACCGTCACACAGGTCAGTCAACAATTACCCAATCCATCTTCAATCACTGGAGAGGGTCAGGAAACCAGCACTGTCCAGTAGACATTTTGTTATATAATGCACATATGGGTCATTCTACCATTGCAGTGATAAATAGGATATGCTGAAATCTAATTCGAGTGTAAAATGTAGTCTGTTATATAGAACATCAATAAAGTTGTAACACCACTGACCGTAACACCACTGACAAAATTACTCAAATCTGAGCTTTTCTAAAATGTAGTCTAACACTACCTTAGTTTTATTTCTTTAGGTTTAGTTTTATTTCTGCATTGTATATGGAAAATTACAAACTTAATTTTTAGTTATTTTACATTTCCATCCAAGAAATAATGGATTATTTTCATGTTTCTGTAACACCACAGACAAAAAATCTAGAGACAAGATTTATTATCAAAATAAAATTATATCTATATATTTGAAATAATTTTAACATATGAAAAACAATCATTTTAATGCATTTTACAATTTAAAATAGTTATTTCACATAAAAATAATACATCTATGAATTCACCGGATTGACATGCTGTTTTTTATGCTTAATGCAAATAAAATCACCAACACAAAAAAATTACAAAGAATTATCATGGTTTTTGTTGGCTAAGTTAGGAATAGAACAAAGAATACACTCATTTTCATGGCTTAAAAACTGTGGGACACGTCTTTAAAAGAGCAATAATATCACATATGCCTCCATAGTCTCAATTCTAACTGCCATAGCGCTGATCCTATACTCTAATTATGTTTAGTACATTAAAACAAATTATTGAACATTCCATTTTGTCATCACCAATAGAAAGTACCCTATAAATGAAGATTTTCTATATATTTATACTTTTACTATCTCAAATAATGACTTGGGTTTAAATATATCATAACATATTTGAGTGATTCTGTGGAAATGTCCATATGTCCAGTGCCGTATTTTGAGGTCAAAAACATTTTCTGTTTAAACTGCAACAAGGTATACATAACTATCAAATATATTATATAAATGACATAAAATAACAAAATGCCAAATAAATATTATAAAATATTTAATGAAAGTAGAGGTCATCGGGAGTCCTGTCACTGGTGTTATCAACAATTCTGAAATAAAAATCACACTGATGATATTACTTGACTCCCCTTTACCTGCTTCTTGAAGATCTATGAAGAATGTGCAAGAAAAAGCGTTTTACATAAAAATGATCACTGGTGTTACCTTCCCTCTACTTATTTATCATGATAAAGAAAAGTTATAATAATGATAATAACTTTTTTCAAATATTTTCATAGTTATAGCAAATACATGGTTGCGCAACTTTCAAACTTTTAACAAACCTGAATAAAATAAATAGAATAATAATATGTTGATTTGTCGCGTTATCATTATTCTTCTGTAACTCTGAGTACATGAAAGCCTTTAATATTGCCAAAGGAGTAGCTAACACCAGTGACGAGAAGCGGGACATGCGACCTTTAAATAAACGCACAAAAGGGGTAAAAAATCATTAAGCTCTCATTTTTGTGTATTTATACAGCCGATGAGTTTGTAATAACGTGGTCTGAGTTAGAAAAAGAAATACACTTTAAGTCATCTTGCTACTCCAAAAGTGGACATTTCTGTAGAATGACCCAATTCTTGTAAATATCTAAGGTCTGAAAACTACATTTTTTTAATAGTTATTTTTTATTGTTGGACTGCAGTTCAAACTATTTCAGTCCGTATGAGCTTTTTAAACATTCATTTAGTTGGTTTTACATCTCTCTTCCCAGAATCTTGGTTTCTTTTTTAATTTGATTATTTTTTCGTTTTTGCCGAAAGGAAAGCGAAAATGAATTTACTCATCACTCATAGGGCACCTTTTCCTGTCTCGAGCACGCGCGTGAGAGGGACGTTGGCGCGAGCCAAGTTTGAATCTCCTCGTGAGGTAAAACGGACTCAACGGCTCGCTCGGTGGGGGAACTTGGAAACTTCAAGAAGAAAAGCGTCTTTAAACTCTGTTTTACTGAAGAGGAGCAGTTTTATTTACGCAGTAACGACAAAGAGTTGCAGCAGAGCAGAGTCCACACAGCTGTAGTTCACACAGGGAGCAGCTCCAACTCTTCTGCATGTATGAGGAGCAGCTTGCGTGTGTATTTTGCCAGACTTCTAGAAAACACAGGAAGCACAGGTTCGTTCCAGCTGATGAAGCAGCTCATGATAAGAGGGCAAGCAAGAACACTAAGCTATGCATCGTGATTAATTTGTCATTTGCACTGTTATCTTATGACCACAGAACCAGTGATAATCTGAATGAATGTACAAAAGTTGTATTCCCTTGGTTTCCTGTATTTGGCATTTCCTGTGGGGGCCTCTTCAGTTTTATCAATTACACATTGGATTGATATGTAAAGAGCCCATGTCTTGAATTATGGGTGGCCGGCAAAGTCCAACACGCTGCAGAATAAAAAATGGGCTGCAAACACATCAAACACTTTAATCAAAAAGACAGCATAGGCTCTGCATTTTACAAATGCTTGGCAAAATAATCAAACACCTTGAAAATTTGTTTGCACTCTGAAAACTCTCTCATCAAAAGGACTACACCAGTGTTACATTTTACAGACACTCTGGAAGTACGGAAAACACATCACGGCTGTCGGAACAAAACCTTGTATCTCCAAAATTAGAACATTACAGGAGAAGGAAAAAACATATTTTACGTTTAATGTAAGTCAATGGGAACCAGACTTTTTTTGCAAAAATAATTTGGGCCATTTCTTTTGGTTTATTCATTATAAAATGTACACACTATGTAAGAGGCATCAGGTATTTTCATATTATGTCGGAAACTGAAAAATGGAGATACGAGAGCAGCGACATGTAACTTCAGAAACACTGCAAAGTCAGTCACAGCACATCGGAAACGTTTCACACTCAAAAAGGATGAAACCATTCAAACCGTTCAATTCTATGCAGCATAAACATTCACTGATAAAAGTAAGTTAACTTTTATTTTAGCAGATAACTAATATCACAGTATCATAGTGAGAATTAGCTGTAGAGTGTAAATGTAAAATTTAAAATAGCAGCACCAGAAATGACTGATTACTAGTACAGCATTGCTGTCAGAACAAAACCTCATATTTCCAAAATGGTAACTTTACAGAAGGAAAAACATTCTTAACATTAAATAGAAGTTAATGTAACTACTTTTTCTCTCCAAAAATTTTGGAGCATTTCTATTGGTCCATTCATCATGAAATTCTAGCTTGTTGTAAAGGGCAGCTTCAATTTTCAATTACGACGTTTTGTTCCGACAGCAGCGATAGGTATTCAGATTTGTTCAGTTCAGAGTACTTTATGAATCACAAAAAGGGCAATTTATTTGCAGCTTTCCCATCCATACGCACAACTATATATATATATATATATATATATATATATATATATATATATACATACATACATACATACATACATACAAATATATACATACAAATATACATATACATACATACAAAAAAAACAAACAAACAAAAAAAACCTTATGCCGTCAGAGCTAACCAGCCAGCCAAGTTAACTGTGAGTCTCTTATCATCTTCCCTTAGTGATTTCTGCTGTGTTACGACTGGATTTGCAGCATTTCTGAAGTTGCATATGTTTTCTGTATTGGCCGCATTTTTATAAAATAGTTCAGGTGTAGTTATGTTGATGTAGTGTTTTCCGAAGTTGCGTCGTGTTTATGAGTTTCTTTAGTGTTTTTCTTTGTACTCTGCATTGAGTCGTGTCGGCCACCACACCGCATTTTTCATGTATTTCATTTTTTCCCGAGGTCCACTTATGACACGTACTAAACATCAGAATTCATTTTTACATGACCATTTTCCAAACTCTCTCTCTATCATAATTAGACAGACTGTTTCTGTTATTGTGCCTTCAGGGCATTATTTAAGTAAATTTTCTATGTTTTGATTGGTCACCATACTCCTTATAACATGAGTTTGTGATGCAGCTGTAGGCTGAATTTTTTGTGATATCACAAAATCAGAATGTTTTTACAGTTTCTGGATATGGACTGTATGAACTGAGGGGTGAATAGTACATTTTAAAACCTTAACAAGTTTACATACTACATGTGTAATGTTTGTTTTAAAAATAATCTTTAATAAGATGTAATATCACCAGTCTGCATGTCAAATTTTAGCATAAACCAGCAATTTTGTAAGTTATCTACTAAAATAAAAGCAAAGGGGAGGACATCTGGCAAAACTTCAGTGACTTTTTAATTAAGGCATTTTAAAGTTTTTTTTTTTTTAAATTAACTTCCTAATCCCTTAAAATCCCAGGCTTATTATGCACTAAGGCTTATTATTCAGTAACTACACAGTCTACAAAGCAAACTAGCTGAGCTATTCTTAGGTTATAGAAGTGTGTAGTAAAACTTTGGGCCTGCTGGTGGCCATTTCAGAGGTTAATCAGTGGACATTTGACAATGATATGTAGGCAGCTTCCCTCAAGAGAATGCGTGTTTTAAATTGTACTACTGGTCTTTTATTACAGTCTGATAGTCTGATGGACATACCCATTTGTATTTTTGTATTCATTGTCCATTGTATCTTTTATATCTTTTGTATTTTTGGTCAAATAGTGTTTTTATAGTTTATATTATAAAGTCTTTGGAAAGGCTTCCTAGTTTAGTCCTTTTTTTTGAATAAAGCTGGAAAGCTGTTGGAATCTCCCTCACAAGTTGATGTCAAGGCTGCATTGAAGATCTTGAAGGAGAAGTTGCAGGACGTTAAGCAAGCTAAAGAAACCTGTGATCAAGAAATTCAGCACATTATAGTAAAGATCACATATGCCCTGTCTTATGCCTTCGGAAATGTACGTTTTACTCTTACTCAGCTGAACTATTCTTTAACTTCTGTTTATCTATTACCTGACACATCCCGTTTCTTTGAGTTTACCCAGAGGTCAAGTTCCCCTTTTGCGTATTGTTGTTTTCACTTATTGCTGACAAGAGAGCCCTTTACCTGACCCCAGAGTGTACGCAGTGCACTCTGTCTGAACTCCTTTACCTACAGAGTTCTTGACTTAAACATAACGATATATGGTCATTCAATCATCAGCAGAGTATAATACTGATTTTTCTGACAAGCATGTTTTTCCTTCTCCTGTGAAGTGAACATTTTTTACTTTGATTACACTTTACATTGACTAAATTACTTCACTGTTACCCTTAAAGGCTTAATATTTTGAGTGTTGAATCTTGTTGGAAGTTCATTTGTTTCCATAGCATCTTGGGGTGCGGGAAAAAAATCGATTCTTAGATGCATCTCGATGCGGATATGCACGATTCTGAATCGATTCATTCAACGTAATGTTGACGGAATGCAAAGGGCGGAACTTGGAAGTGCAGCGCCCGGACAGTCTGTGGCGGCACATAACAAAAACACTACTGGGTGAGTGAGAAATACGACCGGCAGCCTCTGCATTAAAGCCAGGTTAGATCAGGAGTCCCAACACAAATGTTAACATTTTAAACCTTTCAACAAAAATCAAACCACCTTGGGAGCCACAACATTTAATGTCCAGTATGTCTCAGTATGTAATAATGTCCTAGTATAGACTAAACAATATAAACGAAAACGCGGACTTACTCTACTCTGCTTTAAGCTTCAGCTATAGCCGCTTTTTTCCATCTCTGCCAGAAAACTTTTCCTCAAAAGTTGAATAGTTTCTTGTAAAATGTCTCTCAGCTTTCGGCTGTTTTACGAGGCTGAAGTTGCTTCTCATTCGCCAGCTTCTTGCTGAACTTTCCCGTTCCACCTTAAATTCTGACTGAGGCTCCGAAGTTAATTGCGGCACCATTAACGGCGGAATGGGAAAATTAGAAAGAGAAGCGACTTCATCTTCGCAACTTTTTAGTGTTTGACAGTCTCTCGTTGCAGATTTAACGTATCAGGAAACCAACTACGTTGCTTATAAATGCGAATAAGTCCGTTCGTCTCCAAATGTTCTTCTGTCTTTCTCTTTTCCTTTTTCGTTCGCTACTAGCCAGGCGAAACCTCGTTGCTAGGTGACCTGCAGTCTGCACACCGTCTCGAAGATATTTTACTGACAAAGTGACCCCTCCCCCTCCCTACCACGAGACCAAAACCGAAGTTATAAAATCACTAAAAGAAAACGGGTAGGACGGCTATAATGTGCTGCGTGGTCATCCATTATCACTGGATCTTATTTCACCCTAGCAGCGCATTTTATCGCAGATGAGTGGCAGCAGCGTCTCCAAACAAGAGCAGTGAATGAGAGCCTTCCAGTTCACTTGCCACATCACTTCCATTTGTTTTATTAATAGGAGATATTGGACATAAATGCATTATGGATCATTACAAATACTTAGCTTTAAAAGTACAAAGTCCTCAGACAGTAAGAAAATAGAAATCACGTATGGAAAAAAAGATGCATCGAGATGCGCCAAATATTTTCAGTGGGTGACACCCAGACTCTTTTGAATATGGAGCAATGCTGTTGTAATACATGCAGAATGTGGTTTGGCATTGTCTTGCTGAAATAAGCAAGGCCTTCCCCGAAAAAGACATCATCTGGATGGCAGCATATATTGCCAAAACATGTATATATCATTCAGCATTAATGGTGCCTTCACAGATGTGCACGTCAACCATGCCCTGTGCACTGATGCACCCCTGTTCCATCATGAATACTGGCTTTTGAACTGTGTACTGATAACAAGTTCAGTGGTCACAGCGTCCATGATTTCCAAAAAGAATTTCAAATGTTGATTTGTCGGACCACAGGTCACTTCACTTCCCCTCAGTCCATTTTAAATGGGCTCGGGCCCAGAGAAGGTGGCAGTATTTCTGAATGCTTTTGTTTTTTTTTTCTTTGCATTTTAGACTTATAACTTGCATTTGTGGGTGCAGCAACAAACTGTGTTCACAGACAATGGTTTCAGAAGTGTTTCCGAGCCCATGCAGTGATCTCCACTACAGAATCATGTCTGTTTTTAATACAGTAGCGCCTGAAGGCCTAAAGAGGCCAGAAAATAGTGTTTTTGGCCTTTTCCTTGCATACAGTGATTTCTCCTGATTCTCTGTATCTTTTAATGTTATTATATATTGTAGATGATGAAAAGCAAAAGTTCTTTGCTATTTTACGTTGAGAAACGTTATTCTTGGATTGCTGCACTATTTGATCATGCAGTCTTTCACAGAGTGGTGAACTCCTCATTGTCTTTACCTCTGACTCAGCCTCTATGGGATGCTCTTTTTATACCCAAGTTACTGACCTGTTGTCAGTTATCCTCTAAGTATTTTTTAGCATTACACAAATTAACCACCCTTTTATTGCACACGTCCCAACTTTTTTGGAACGTGTTGTTGGCATCCAGTTCAAAATGGGGATATATGTTTTCAAAAAAAACAAAATTTCTCACTTTTTTCACACATTTCATATGTTGTCTTTGTACTATTTTCAATTACATATAGAGTTTCAATGATTTGCACAACATTGTATTTTGTTTTTATTTATATTTTTCACAGCGTCCCAACTTTTTCGGAAATGGGGTTGTCTTTTAACTGTGCAGCAGTTTCACACTTGTCTTAGAGTGTAAGTCTAAAGGTAAGAACCTTAAAATATAGTCACAAAATATAATTGTGAAAATAAACCCAATAGGTTTTTTTTCTATTGGCTGTTTCAATTACCATCAGTTCTAATTCTTGTTTCATTTGATTTTGTTTTACTTACATTTTGTTGTCCTCAGGTGCTGTCAGTTACTTGAACAACAGCTTCTCTTCTGTTTTGTCCTTTTTTACTTATCTCACTATAGCACAAGCATCTCGGCCAAAGAATGTGCGTTTCCTACCACAAATTCCAACCCTTTCCCTGATGTCTGCACATGTGGATGTGTTTACTGAAGTCTATTCGATTTAATATAAAGATGAACATGCAACCACACACTGCTGAGCATTAATCACACTGCTGTCTTCTGCTTTCAGGCTTTAGTGGTGATGGAGGTGTGCTTGCTTGTGTGTGTGCTATTTGGTGGATGTCGCTCTGAACCGGAATGGGCTGGTGGAGGCTGGAGGTCTGACGTTACTCAATACTGTCACTTTTGGTCTCCTCATCCTGAAACAACAACAACAACAACTGTGTCAGTAACTTCTATGTGACCAGTAAAGAGAAGTACAGTTCATATACAGTTGAATAATGCTTGTGTAAAGATTTGCATACTAAAGCTGCATACTGAATTCTGAATGTTTAAGAATTTTAATACAATGTTTAACAAGCAACAAATCTTTTTGATAGTCAAGCTTATTATAATGGTATGTATATCGAAAAGCTCCTCGAAAAGTTTCCACAATATTGTCCAGCAAACAAGCTTGTGATCTGTACTTCTGCATATGCTGGTCCATGGTGGCCAGTAATTGCAGATGCCTTGTTATCAATTGTATCTTCCTACAAATGTAAACAATAAAAACCTTTTAGACAATGTTTTTTCATATTCTTATTGATTCTATACTGATCCTACACTGACATGCTTGTTGTAGCCACATAAAAGTATTTTTGAAGCAGTCTCTCTCACCTCTTGCTTTGTTTTCACTGAAGCATGTCTGAGAGCCTCCTTGTAGAGTTCCTCCTCTATCTCAGACTGACTCATCTCCAGGACTGCTGAAGCGAGAGAGATCCAAACAACAAATACAGAATGTGTAAATTAAAGAGGAGGCCATTTATATATATATATATATATATATATATATATATATATATACACACACACACACACACACACACAAATACATTAACTATCTGCTTTAAAGGCTTTGCTTCACAGACTGTCCTCACTTCTTGTCATACTGGGTTCCGTAAAGAGCTACATTTGTTAACTGATTCCAAAATCTATACACAGTGAAAACGACTATATGAAAAAATGCTTGCTGTTGAAGGAATACAAAACTGAAACTATGAAGTGGACACTCGCAAAAAGACTTTTTCCAGGTTATTAGTGAAGGCTTAAGATACAATTTAAAAAGCAAAAAGCTGAAAAACGTGGAGATGTTATACATTTTTTTTTTTAGTGTTCTGTTACACACTTACCTTCTACTACCTTCTCGGTGGACTGAATTTTCTCATTCGCACCTGGGGACTAAAATAAGAGCTTAGTTAGAACACAGAAACATTACACATGTTCGATTATTCTCCATTTTAACTCTGTGTACCTTTTGACTCTTGAAATGCCTCTTTTTGCGGATGCTCAGCTGGAAGTTGTCCACTAACACAGCAATGAAGAGACTACGAAGACGAAAAGTTAAAAGTAAGCATTCACTGCCTAGTGATCGGTCAAGGCAGTCAGGCTTGTGATGTAAACCTAAAAGACATTTTGCTGCCCATATGAGGGTATTCAGTTCAACTGAGTGGTGGGATGAGCAGCAAAATGCCTTTAAGCTGCCTTGATGTTCTTCTATTACACAATTCAAAGACTGTGAGAACGTTACAGACATCAGCATGTACTGTACATGTGGTTCACAGAATGGAAACTGATTTAAAACTGTGAAGTCATTCCAGGTAACTTACTTGAGGAAAGTGAAGAACTCCACCAAGATGTAAAGATCAAGGAAATAAATGATGTGAGGTGCTCCTGTTGGTTGTGAAAAACATGGAGAAGAAAAAAAAAGGTCAAATTTCCAGTGACAGAAAATCACAGTTACACAGGTAAATACTCAGATACTTTACATCCTTTAATAAACATCACTATGCATCTATCAGAATATGGTAATTTGGCTGAAATAATATTGTTTGGCTATTTTCAAACGTCACCCCCCTCGCCACTCCCCCAGAAAAGAATTAGTGCATTGGGTCTTTTATCTATATTTGCCTAGTTTACAAATAATTAGTTCCCCCAGTTGCATCTGTATATTCAGTGAATTTTTTTAAAAATACTGAATCCTACCAAAATAATTTAATCGAACCATCATAACATTCAAGATTTTGTGAATTGTAATCCAATCAAATCGAGGTCAAAGATTTAGCTAAATTCACAATTTTCAATGAAAGCAATGACTTTCCTGAGTTTGCTTTTCACATAATGTGTTGATGCCTAAAAAGAGATGACCCCTTACCGTTGTCTCTGTTGGTCATATAGATCAAAGACCAGTCATCCAGCGTAAGGATTTGAAAGAGGGTGAAGATGGTCCTGAATATGCTTCCAAAGTGTTCCGGGTCTGACTCATTAAACGTCTCCCGGAATATAACAGCAAAAATAAACAGGAACAAGAACATGAGGATGATGATGGAGCTCATCGACCGGAAAGACTGAAGGCAGGTTAAAAGGATGGCCTGAAGACTCTTGAAGAAGCTGGCAGAAAAAAAGAGAGGGCCCTCGAGTTATTATTATACATTAAAAAAAACATGGACACATGCAAGTCTGGTCCATACGATTGGTCTACTTTTACAAATATGAAAGTCAATAAGAGCAGAACAGACGCAACACCATATTTATGTTCACTGGCTTAAAAATTCATTAAATGTGATGTTCACACAGCACACAGTCCTTCTTTACAGGTGTGGGGTTTGAGATTCTTTGGGACTGGCCTAATCAGTTGAGTTAATAATCTGTGCTTGTCTGCAAGTCTTTCAAACCTTCGAATCCAAAAAAAAAACTTAAAAAACAGCCAATACCATTCCTAGCTACAAGCATGCAGACAACAGGCCTGTGATTTTATAGTGTTGCCCCATACGATAGTCTGTTTGGCCCCATAGAGTCTTGCTGCAGTTCCTTTAAGTCTCAGCAAGATCATTTCACATCATGACAACGGGTGTGTAGTTTTCCTTACCGGATCACTTTGAGCAAACGTAAAGCTCTGACTGCTCGGGCTCCTTTGAAAGTCTTGAGCACCCGGAAGAGAGTGGAGGCCTGTCTACTGCTAAAACCTCCTGTAGACTGCACCAGTGACAGCGAGAAGTCCACCAAACTCATGAGCATAATAAAAAAAATCTGAGAGAAACAAGAAAAACAACTATTAAATACGTTCTGGCATTCTAACATATAAAAATGAATGGAAACTTGCAGGAAGAGGCTGCCATCATAAGACCATGTTGACTACTCTCATCAGAGGTTTGTCAGCTCACAAATAATTCCAGGGGTTCCTGAAGTATGTACGTCCCCACACCAGGATCTTAGACGCAGCCTCCATCACATAGATAGCCAGCAAACAGGTGTCCATTGCTGAGAAACACCAACCTAGTACAACAATATAAAACAACAAGGAACAACCTCATTTACTCTCAGTGTAATAAGGCAGGGATTACTTTATCATTAGTCCTGAGAGGAGTTACAAATCATAATTGAGTCTTGGAGTTGGACTCAATCAGGATTATAAATATAAGCATGTGTGTGTATCAGTATTGTGTTGTGTATGTCACCTACTTCGTTCTGTTATAATCCTCAGACACGGATTAATCTAGGCTGCACGGACTGCTCTCGGTAGCTTTTAATTCTTTAATAAGTGATCGTGTTAATTAGCCGTCCTCTAAAATGTTTGAAATTGACTGTTTAGTTGACCAAAATCAGCTGTATTATGTAGTTATAATTCACAAGTAAGTCAGTAAAAACTACTGAAACGGAGCCTTTACTTTCTAATGCCAACTAATACCTAAAAAGCCCCAAATCCTTCAGAGTTTCTGCCGGCGTAACGCTAACGTACTCACTGGTGAAGAAATGAGATCACGTTGTGATATCGCGAGATGAGGAACGGGATTAGTGACGGGAATCCAAAGCATTAAAAAGGATGCTTTTTATATAAAATATTTTAGGATGGATTCAGCTATTTGTTAAACAGTAAAACAATAAGCACGCTGGTCAAAACTTGACACTAAATATTTGTAGATTCATGTCTGCAGATTCAACTCGTTGGACGTTTTGGTTGTCCAACACATGGTGACCGCAAAACGAGCTTAAAAATACAAATAGCTAATAATTAATACACAAAACAAGTGTCTGACGAAAAGCTCTCCCATATATTTTTGCAAAGTTCAGTATAATGAAAATGGTATGACCTGTGTTCACATCAATGTCAACATACTGAGACAAAAGTGCTTTGATGAAGGACTGCTGGGCACTTCGGAGCAGCGACACAGACTTCAGCAAAACACTGAAAAAACACATTTCTAAAAACATTAAACAGTTAATAAAATATTTCTTAAAAGAAATAACAGATTTTATGGCATAAAAGCTTCAGTCGAGTTGGTATTTAGAAAATCTGCCATCCCAGCTTGGCGTGGTTGGGGCGCCCTGCAGTTGGCCCACGTTTGGTTGAATGTGTATAAGCTGCCTGGAACACGACACAATCGCGGCACATAACTAGTCAAATAAGCCTTTCCTCAGTTGAAATCAAGAGCATAGAAACACTAACACTGACAGAGCAGGGGCTCTCCTGGACCAGCACTTGGAACCACAGAGCTATTAAAGAGATACACTAGTAAAATTCTGCGCACTTTCATTTAAGTAGTGGATCAATAATGTGCAATGAGGTTAAGAATAAAGAACTACTTTGTGTGCTGACTCGATTTAATACACGTTCAATCATGTTTGAAAAGAAAACGTTTGTTAAAAATATTTATTGAGAGCATCAGCAAACCATTATGAACATCCAAATGCTACTCCTTGGAGTGAATGTTTATATGTGAGTGTCTGTCAACAGATCATACAGTGTTAGAGACAACATGCAGTCATCACAAGTTACCATTTGTTGAAAAAGTGTTTAGAGCATTGGGTATACAGTACATTAAACTACACTATGAAAAAAGAGCATCTCGCAGATACAAATCCACTGCCGTGATCCAAAGACCCTCATTAGTACAAAGACAATCACAAAAATTAACATGGCATTTTAGCATTATGTAAACCGATAGAAATTAATTTTCAACCCATACAGACATACACTGTTACTTTACTTTGCAGGAGTAAATAAATATAATATAAAATGACCGGCAAATAGCTACCTTTAATTACTGATAACCTTCACAGGTGGTAACTGCCCATGTTGAGAATGAGAACTGACCATGTCAGTGTCACTGCTTAGCTGATCCTCTACCCAATTAATATATGGTTAACAGCAGTTCTGGTGGTCTCTTTCCACCGATAGATGGGGTAGAGGGTAGTTGATAAATTGTGCAGTGATTGATGGGCTACAGTCATTAACTGTAAACCTACGAAGTGCACCTGTATAGTAGGAACATACATACATATATACATACATCATCTAAACCGCTTATCCTTCTGGGTCACGGTGGGGTGCTGGAGCCTATCCCAGCTGTCATTGGGCGGAAGGCTATAGTAGGAACATATCTGTTAATTCTACAAAGTTAATTTTGGGCAATGTA